CACTACCTGCTCCAATTTACTGCATTCTGCGTCCGTGTCTGCCAGTGTCTTTGTCCCCTCAAACCATTCCCTTGTCCGCAATAGAATAATAATTATGGCTACCTATTGTTTCTACCGTCTGCATATATGCCTTTGTATCCCCATCCCGCCTCTTTTCCCCACCAGAACGGTTTTTAATAGTTACACAGCATCCTGCGACGTAACTATTATTTATGCGATATTGAACAAACTAAACATTTTGTGTGTGCATTCAGGCACGGGCACATTAATTCAGATGGCGTCTGTGGTTCTTGCAAGCTATTTTAGTGAAACAGGTCGCTCTGACCAGTGCATTTGTTACCGGTGCGGGTTTTTTTCTGTTTGTTTGTCTCTTCTTTCTTGTTTTTAAAAAAAAATATGCATGATGGTGGCGGCCCTCATGGTAAAAATATGTACGGTACTTAGATCTATGAGTTGATGAAAGCTTGAACTCACCTGAATGAATGTGTTAATGTTCTGTCTAATTTTTCTGTCTTCTTTATCTGTAACTGATTTGTTTGGTAACATGAGCCTTGATTGCATTTCGACCACGATTTTTACCAACCAACCAACCAACCAACCAACCAACCAACCAACCAACCAACCAACCAACCAACCAACCAACCAACCAACCAACCAACCAACCAACCAATAAACAAACAAGCAAGCAAACAAACAAACAACTTATAGTATGTAAGGCCGTAAGATTGATTGCGTCTCGACCTTGATTTTGCTCCCTGGCCTGTCAATGATTTGTACAATTTGAAGATTATAACAACAATAACAACAACAAAACAGAGCGAAAGAAAAATAATAGAGCAAGTTCTCCCGTGAATGGTTCACCCTATCCTTACGCCCTGGGGTCATTTTGTACCACTGGGGTTGTATTCTTCACATTTTAAAATACTTCTAGTTCGAAGATCTCTTTGAAACTTTGAGTATCTTTCGAAAATAATTTTGACAGACTGCTATACAAAGAGTTCGGATCGGATTAACGAGTAAATTTTGTCTTTGGAAAGTGGTGGCACAGAGTTTCTCACGTCGTATGGATACGATAGTAAAACACGACGTACGGATAGGGTTAATGTGCGACGTTCTACAATGGCAGTGCTTGCCAACATGAGTGATATCACCCGCCAGTGAGCGACAAAATGTGATTGGCTAGTTTTGTATGGTTTTACGGAGCTCGCAACTGCCTTATGTCATTGGGTCACTTTTAACCACAAGGAGGCTATCCCGAAAAATGCTGTTTTGAGAAAATTGAAGGTAATGTTTTAGGACCCTCGTTCAGTTTCTTTAAAAGACAAGGAGAGTTTTCTCTATGACCAAACAAATATACACACCAATGAAACTAAACTTCTCCTATAGATAGGGCAATGCCCACTTTTGGTGTTGGTCAAGATTTCTGGAAACCCCCAGATCTGGGTTAGCCCGCTTGTCCTTAAAAGTGACCATATGAGCTCGTGGTGCACATTAAACATTTTCAGTGCGGTAGGAATTAATTTGGAGTTATGTCCGGGTGGCGGCTGAAGCCTACTCTAATTGATTTTAGGACCATCAAGATGCGCAACTTGCACACGAAACCTCCGAGATTTTTTCGCCCTTATCCGAAAAATTCAGAGGTGTAGCTGAAAGACAGCAGTAAAAAAGAGCCAAGGAGTATCAGTAAAAATGCTGCAGAAAGAGTTAGGCAGGAAGCCAGAGCAGGGGGCAAGGGGGGGGGGGGCAGAAAATGGAGACAAAAGCAGATGACAGAACGGGGTTAGAGAGCTGCGAAGAATTCGCTAATGGACCATTTGGTAATTTTAGTGGATGATGGGGATCATCGTAGTAGAGGAAGGCATATTATTCAGTGCCCCCCCCCCCCATTTAGTATATATATATTATATTTAGTATATATATATATATATATATGTACATTGCAGGTGGGCGGTACGACATTGGTTGTTTTTTTTATGGGTTTTTTTTCTCTTAAAGGTGGCAAAAGTGGGCACTGTCTATATAGAAGGTTGACAAGCACTGTTCCATGGCTTCACCCGATCACCTAAATGGGTGTATGTGTTATGTGCGCGAGTTTTACTAAGCTGACAGCGAAAAGCTTTAGCCAGGGGGCAATTTAGTTCTATCGTGTTTGGCGTTCGCTCTGCAAGCTATGTGACAAGAAAGAAAGAAAGAAACTGCAACAGACAGACAGACATGCAGACAGACAGACAGACGAAGACACACACAGTACACAGAGAACGAGAGAGAGAGAGAGAGGGGGAGAGAGAGAGAGAGAGAGAGAGAGAGAGAGAGAGAGAGAGAGAGAGAGAGAGAGAGAGAGAGAGAGAGAGAGAGAGATGGGGTTGGGAGGAGCTTACAAAATTCGTCTGCTAGTCATCCTTTAAAAAATCACCAGACAGCCCTATGTTGACAGTCTATAGAGTCGGAGTACTTCACTGTCTCGGGTTTATCGTTATCCCATTTCGTTTTTAAAGATTTCTGGGTTTTTTTTGGCGGATATTTTTTTTTCCAGTGTGACGAGGTTAAACTTTTAAAGCGCTATTTGAATAGTTTGAGGTTATGATAATGCAGGTAATATATTCAGTCTGGAAAGTTTTATTTCTCTTTTTTAATAGCTTTTGATTGGGATGTAGCCAATAAGCGTATTTGCGTCTATATGGGAGAAAAGGAAAAGGGCGGGTGGGAGGTGGTGGGGGCAGGGTTGTCATCGTGTTGATGCAGGTTGAAATATGATACCATCACTTTATCATTATGTTTTGACAGCATAGAATATGTTGTGAAGAGAATTTTTTTGGTGACCATTGCTCATTCTATGGATAGTTCGCCTACATTCGGCTCACGAATATCCATGTTTTCTATATTTTTTTAAAATTGTTAAAAAATGAGAACACATTTGTAGACAATCTGTAAAAAATCTTTGTTCAGCCTGACTCCATTAACTGCCCTGTTCGCCTTTGCCTCTCTACTCATTGAGACTATATAATCAGAATGCGTACCGTTAGCTCAGTTGTTATCCTGTTGGAATACGGAGCGAAAGACCCTTGTTCAAATTCCCAACCTGGAGTTCTAAACTAAAGTTGGGTTTTTATGAAAATATTTTTAGCGACTTTCTGTCGATTCGGCTCGGTTCTATCAAAGTTGGACGTTGAATTTGGAGGACCGGCCTTTTAAAATAATATTGAAGTGTTGAAAGGGGTATCAATCTATTCCATCTCCCCATTTCTCCCTCCCAAATTTCACCTGTCACCAACCACACCCCTCTCCCTTTTCCTCTTTAGTTCTCTCTCTCTCTCTCTCTCTCTCTCTCTCTCTCTCTCTCTCTCTCTCTCTCTCTCTCTCTCTCTCTCTCTCTCTCTCTCACACACACACACACACACACACACATACAAACGCACTCTCTCTCACACATACACACACACGCACGCACGCACGCACACACACACACACACACACACAGTATCATCAACACTACCTGCTCCAATTTACTGCATTCTGCGTCCGTGTCTGCCAGTGTCTTTGTCCCCTCAAACCATTCCCTTGTCCGCAATAGAATAATAATTATGGCTACCTATTGTTTCTACCGTCTGCATATATGCCTTTGTATCCCCATCCCGCCTCTTTTCCCCACCAGAACGGTTTTTAATAGTTACACAGCATCCTGCGACGTAACTATTATTTATGCGATATTGAACAAACTAAACATTTTGTGTGTGCATTCAGGCACGGGCACATTAATTCAGATGGCGTCTGTGGTTCTTGCAAGCTATTTTAGTGAAACAGGTCGCTCTGACCAGTGCATTTGTTACCGGTGCGGGTTTTTTTCTGTTTGTTTGTCTCTTCTTTCTTGTTTTTAAAAAAAAATATGCATGATGGTGGCGGCCCTCATGGTAAAAATATGTACGGTACTTAGATCTATGAGTTGATGAAAGCTTGAACTCACCTGAATGAATGTGTTAATGTTCTGTCTAATTTTTCTGTCTTCTTTATCTGTAACTGATTTGTTTGCTTGTGTGTGTGTGTGTGTGTGTGTGTGTGTGTGTGTGTGTGTGTGTGTGTGTGCTTCGTTTTTTATGTGTCTTTTTGATAGCTCATTGAACCATGTCTTGCTGAGACCAAATAGATGCTTAGTGGTTTCCGTTTGACAAATACACTCTCCCCTGTGTGACTTTAGGCCCTGACCTGATCGCAATGATGACATATTATAGGCCAGCCCAATTGTTTGAGTCAGCGTACATCTATCTTAATCAGTTCATAATAATGTACTCTGTGGGTGGTTGGAGGCGCCACTGGTAAGTCCTACTTTTCTTTCTCTGCTTTGTTGTTTCCGCCTGTCTGTCTAGCCTTGTGTCGATGTGGTTCTCTTTAGTCAAAATCTTAACGTGCTCTTGTATTCTGGCTGCTTCTGTTGGATAGCGTTGTCTTAGGGTCAAAAGTGTACCATACATAACTTGCGTTTTTGCTCGCATAAGAGATTCTCGCGAAATTTTCCACAAGAGAGACTCTTTGGAGAAAACTCTGACAGGATGCAACCGTTGTAATAAGATTTCTTTAAAATATAAAGGGCAGGTGAAGTTCAAGACTGCTGTTGTACAATGTCTGTAAGTCTGTCCCCGTCGTTTTATGCAAGAAGAAAAATGCTGAAATTATGCAAATTGAGCCCAAAAAGGTGAAATTATGCGATTCTGTTAATTTTAACAAAGAATGGTAAAGGAAAATAATCAGAAATTATGCAAAAAATGATCAAATTTTGCTAAATTATGTGGGGTGCATAAAACCACAGGGACAAGTAAGTACAGCACATGCGTTTTCAAATGTATGGTCGTAAATTGCTCCAATGCAAACCGGAAAGATTGGCTACTTGACATTTGTATATTGATGTGACCACGTAGCTGCGTTGCGATTCTAAATTATTCTGGTCTTCCCTCTTCATTTCCCAACAGCTTAGTCCGTCAATCTCCTCCCCCAATAACCATTACAAGACCAGTTTATTTCAATTGAGGATAGTTGTGAATAGCTCATGGGAGTGTTAATGTATTTCGCAAATCCTTTCTCATTCTTTAGCTAGTTCTGCTTTAGTTGAAAGAATGCAATGCTACTGCTATTGTTACATGTGTTTTAATGACTCCGTTTTCGTAGAAAGAATACGATTCGAACAATTAAATATATTATGGAACAATAAATTTACAGTGTCGACATAACGACGGACAGGGTGTCAGCGGCTTTTCCCGTCTTTTCTATTCTTTTTTGTTGTTGTAGGCTCCCCGTGATTACTCAGCTCAGACAGCTTTCTGAAAGCGTTTCCAACTTTTGTGTAGTAAAAAAAAAAGTTACATAAGTTCAGTTCTGACAAGAGTGCAATTGTTCATATACCTTTTTTTGTGTGTAATTGATTATCTGTAGTGGAGTGCACAAGTGTTCTCGGAGATTCAAGGAAAGAGACGGTGCCATGTCGGAGAACTTGTCTAAATTATTCACAGTGTAATTTCTAGCGCGCCGTCTGTCGTTTTACGAGGCCACCATAAATAATTCTCACGCTTGGACCAGGCGCCAGGTAGAGATACTACTGGAACGAGCTACACCCAATGTCTGCTTCTTGGCGGCGAGAGGGAAACAGGTCATAAACTGTCGTCTGCTGTCTGTATGTCCTTCTCTGTCGCTGCAGACGATCTAGGTAAACGTGACTAATGACGTCCTCCCGTCGAGTGCAAAGGAACGAGACACGTTACTCAACTTGAAGCTAATTTTTCGTGTCAGTTCTAGTCTAGCCTCGGACACTGAGATAACTTTTAGTCATGGGGTATGCCACAACGCGCTTTCAAAAATCTGTGGATCCCAACTTGGTTTGTGCAATATGTGGTGGTGTACTTGAGTCGGCCGTTCTTACCCCGTGTGGTCATAGTTTCTGTCACGTGTGTATCACGACCTGGTTAACCCGTCCAGCGGTCAGTTCTTGTCCGGAGTGTCGGTCAGAAGTTCATCGGGATTCGCCGAAACCTATTCTTTCTCTTCGGAACCTGATAGGATGTTTGGAAGTTACGTGCACGAACAAGCCGCGAGGCTGCAAGGAAGTGTTTATATTAGACAAAGAAGAAACTCATCTACAGACGTGTGCTTTTGTGTCAGTGACTTGCAGCGTTTGTAGTGGGGACGTGCTTCGCTATCAGCTCCCGTCCCATCAGATGAATTGTGTTGGTATCAATACATCCATAGAGCAAGACTCGGAGGAAGATAATAGTGTTGTCCTCAAACGCTCTTCAAGCAGTGGATATTTGTCCTTTCCCACCGCCGATGGACGAAACAGTCTCTCGGACTTCCTTCTGAGGTCGCCCTACTCGGCTCTTACTTCAACAGGGCAGGTGATGCGTCTTCTGTCACGGATTGGTTCGCTGGAGAAACAAGTTGGTCGTTTATTGGATGATCTACACGAAGCTCACAGTAGGAACTCTTATCTCTATTCCCAGAACAGGAAAATGAAAAGTGAACTGGAAGATCGATACAGATCTAGTGAATCGGCAACCACTGATTTCTCTCAAAGGGACAGTGTTATTGAAAGTAGAGCTTCTGATAGGTTTCAAAGGGACTATGCAAATTCATACTACTACATCAATGTTGCCAACACATATGAAGAACAGAGTTCAGAAATCCCCGAAGAAGTTGGAAAGCTGTCACTTCTCATAGCTCGTTACCTTCTCCGCAAACCTAAACACCTTGACAGCGACCTTGTGTTTCAAGCTGTGAAAAGATGTTACGAGTGGGGCTTTGTCTCGGCCTCCTCAGCGGCTCAGCTAATCAGCGACCACGACGTTCACATGCTTCTAGCTACGGCCTACGCCAGCAATTGGTTCTCCGCTGCCCAGAGGGTGACTCTTGGCTGCTGGCTGCAGTGTGTGCTACGTTGTCAGGGGTGTAGGCGTGTAGTGGAGGGTTAGCGCCCCGCCCACCGCACCCATGGTCTGGTATACACTGCCATGTAAATAATATAATACGGTAATGGATTGCTCAACACACATACGCAATAGGTACATGGTTTAAATGTGCAGGGAATACTGTCCCTTGGGAGACTTTTAACAATTACATGTATAACAAACCATTCTGAACAAAACTCCAATAAAACAAAGCAAAATAAATAACAGCTTGGTACTGATAATATACATGTCTGATTGGTTACTATTTTTGGTAGGCCATTGGGAGACTTTCAAAATCCATTCTGACCCCCCCCCCTCCAAAAAAAAAAAGAAAAAAAAAAAGAAAAAAACTACCCAAAACAAAGTGAAAGAGATAACAGTTTGGAAATGGTATTCACGTCTCTGAGTGGTTACTTTTGGCTGGAGTTATCACAATCAAATATACTACTTGAAAGTGTATAGCTTCCCGTGACTTCAAAGTCCGCAACGATCACAACTAGCTGTTTCCTGTTTTTGAGAGAAACGACTGCGGCCTCTCTGTGCCCCACCCCCACCCCCGGCCGCCCCAACCACCTATGGTGACCCAGGGTTTTGTACAATAGGCCAAGCAGTTCGAAACGGCGGCTACTCTCTACTTTCATTTTTTTTAAACCCAAACATTTCATATAAAGCCGAGCTGGTCGCAGCACACTCAGCTTTGTACTTCAGAAGCAACACGGAGATTTGAGCCTTGGTCCTAGCTAGGCCCGACTTTCCTCTCAACTCATGCAGTCCCCAGTCGGAGAAACCGATTGCTGCCTCTTTTCTAATTGACACAATATCCTGCTATTTGTGTAGTGTAAAATTTGAACGAACCCCCCCCCCCCCAGTTAAATCAGTACTAGACACGTCAGAGATGTGAATATGGTCGCTTTTAAGGACAAGCGGGCTAACCCAGATTTCAGGGGTTTCCAGAAATCTTGACCTGCACCAAAAGTGGGAAATGCTATACCTATAGGAGAAGTTTGGTTTCATTGGTGTGTATATTTGTTTGGTTATAGAGAAAACTCTCTTTGTCTTTTAAAGAAACTGAACACGGGTCAAACACTTTACCTTCGATTTTCTCAAAACAGCATTTTTCGGGATAGCGCCCTTGTGCTTAAAAGCGACCATATACCTAAATAAAATAGATCCATAATATTATACTTTCTGTAAACCTTGCTCGGTACATGGTACTTGAGTTTAGATACAGCAAGGCGCATGGGTTCTTGGGATACATTGAGTTCTTTAAAAAAAAAGATAACAAAAGAGTACTTTTACAAGTAATTATGGTATTCGCATCTTTGATTGGTAACTTTTTGATTGAGCTGTCATGATGATGCATAATACACTTGTACTATATTGCTTGAAAATGTGGAAACCCTCTCAGGTTGATTAAAAATGTGTTTCAGAAATAGCGGGTTGAAGTTTGCTCACATAATTCTGTCTACGACGGAAGAAGGCAGTAAACTGAAACAATTCAATGTAAACTGCAACAATTCAATGTAAACTGCTGAGATTTGTTTCTTCTCTCACCCTCCCTCCCCAATTCTCTATCGTTCTCCCCTCCCTCTCTTTCTTTTTTATGTCTCTCCCCCTTTCTCCCCCCCCCCCTTTCTCTCTCTCTCTCTCTCTCTCTCTCTCTCTCTCTCTCTCTCTCTCTCTCTCTCTCTCGCGTCCACTTATGCACGTTCACGCTCCTTCTTTTCCTTTATTTTCACCCCCCCTCTCTCTGTCTCGCTCTCTCTCTCTCTCTTTCTCTCTACCCCCCCTCTCCCTCTCTCTCTCTCTCTCTCTCTCTCTCTCTCTCCTCCCTTCTCTGTCTCTTTGTCTCCCTCTGCCCTCTCTCTGCTCTCTCTCCCTCTCTCTCTCTCTCTCTCTCTCTCTCTCTCTCTGTGTGTCTCACTCTGCCTGCCTGCCTGCCTGTCTGTCTGTCTGTCTGTCTGTCTATCTGTCAGTCTGTCTGTCTATCTGTCTGTCTGTCTGTCGGTCTGTCTGACTCTCTCTCTCTCTCTCTCTCTCTCTCTCTCTCTCTCTCTCTCTCTCTCTCTCTCCTCTTTCTCGCTGCCTCAAATGTATCTATAAGTATAAGTCACGTCTTTAAGGACGTTTTGGCTTGTCAAATTACGCTTCTGTGTCCATTTGTAACAAAAATTACGAAACGTCATTTATGCTCTGACATATTATATTCTACTGAATACTTTCTCTTAGCGTACATGTATACGGATAACCTGCACTTTAAAAAAGGTCCCCTGTGTCCATAGCTGACCACCAACTGCCTACAATGAGACAATGTTAAAATTAAACTTTTTTTCTCTTAACACTATGATAATACATGTAGTATGTCGTCCTGGTATATACTATTCTCTTTGCGTCTGTAGACTGAGACGGTAACACTCTGCCCAGCTGTTATTGCAACGTAAATGCAGGCAGGGCCAACCGAACTGAGAGGGATACAACATCTCAGCAGAAGGACAGATACTTTATAACCCCCCCCCCCTTTCCAAACCAGGGATCGAACTCATGTATTCTGCGTGCTACGGCAAAGTGCTTAGCCTCTACAACACAGACGCCAGTCCAATCATTGTTGCTGTTCTTCTCTTTAGCCTACTCTCTCTCTCTGTTTTAACAGAGACATTGCTACATTTTTAAGGACGTACCGGACAATGGCATGTCCGATGAGTAGCAGACCAAAAGCAATGCTGAGGCACAAATCGAACAATCACACATAAGTTAAATCAGAAACACGAATTTACATATTATTTCTCAGTATGCATGGCGATGCCTGCTTTTTACAGCTTCGGATATAGAAAAAGAATCGGTTTAAATAATGATGCCCCCCCCTCCCCCAACAGCGTGTCTGCAACACAGAATGCTATACTTATTATTATAATTCTGTGGTCTGCGAGCATCGTCGAATGACCAATGAGCCGTGATCTTTTTGAAATACGCAAAATATCCACATCTCGTTATAAACAGTAATATCCTGTATCATGTTATAGTACTGTATCCTCTTATGTACTAAGACAATGTGGTAGCAGTTATTTTCTACCTGTTTTTTGCTAAACCTGTTCACAATATTTATTGCAATATCATAGTGCATGTACTTCACGCTTTTGAGCATCCATGTGTCTGTGTCATAGGTGAATGTTTTACAAATAAATTATTGTATCATGAGCTGTCGGCACATTGTGTGTGTGTGTGTGTGTGTGTGTGTGTGTGTGTGTGTGTGTGTGTGTGTGCGTGCGCGTGCGTGTGTGTTTATTTTGTTTTTATGGGGCGAGCTTCCAATACATCTACAGTTATTATGCATTCAAAACGGTTCTTTCATTAGCATTGTTTCTTTAAAATCGTTAAACCCTCTTTTTCTGTCTCTTTTACGTAGAAAAGAGGTGTGCTCACACTTTCAAAGTGTAAATCTTGATTCCTGTTTAGTGTATGAATGAATACTATACTCGAACGTTTTATTTTACCGTTTAGAAAACAAACTGCTTTAATTATATTAAGTAGAATTGGTCATTTTAACGATTTTTATGCGGTCCAAGCTTACTGGGCCGGCTGTTGAGGCATGATGGGATACGAACTTGCACAGCTTAGCGGAGTCCAAGGTCTGCGTCCAAACTGGGCCCGGCAGATTTTACATTTTATGTTCTTGCTCCAATGTTTCCTCTCAGCCCTGTACTGGCGGGGAAACAAGAGTTCGACCTTCAAAATAATTGGCAAAATTGCATGTATATTACAGCATATCCAGTGGAACATCAACGACAACAGTAGCAGCAGCAGAAACAGCAGCACCACCACCATCACCAACACCACCAATGCCACCACTACAACTGCCACCACCACCACCACTACCACTAACACCACCAACACCAAAAACAACAACAGCAGCAGCAACCGCATCAGCAACAGCAGCAACAACAAGAGCATGCTGATTAGTGAGGCTTCAATTCTCTGTGCAGGCCAGGATTTAAAAAAAAAAAAAATGAAGTTTTTAGTTTATTTTCAGAAGCCTACACACTATTTTTCGAAAGCTTATCATATTTTGTGACCTGTTTTTAATTATATCCAAAAAAAAAATCAAAAAGAAATCAGGCACAATAAAACGCACCTGTTTGTTGTTAGATTCGAGGATAAGAACGTGAAAAGCATTTTTTGCGAGTGCATCCCTGCATGATTATTTATGTCTATGGACTCACAATTGATTGGCTTCGGGGAGGGAAGGGGAGGCAAACAGTAATAAACCGCATATTATGTACGAACAGCCACCGGAAGGCAAAAGTGAAACGTAAAGTGAGCTATGTAATGCAAACAATTTTAAAATGTACATGAAACAAAAAGGTGGCAGGAATGGTTAGTAATATTTCGTATTTTCGTTTCAATTTTAAATGGTCAGGTTTTAAGCAAAGGAAATAAAGATATGGCAAAGCGGTGACTTTTGTATCAAGCCACTGAAACATTCGATTTTGTTGCTCAAGTGTAAAAAAAAGGGTTTCTTTAACCGCGTCATCCGGCTGCGTTTTGAAAAACACTGCATGAGAGCAAGTATGAACGCGTAAGAAAAATTAAGGTAACATAGTTTATGTCAGGAAATGGAAATTGCCTTCCCATTGTTTCTCAACATCCTCTTAAGTTACGTATTTGCGGCTGATGCTTTCACCCTTTTTATACAACGATTTCCACTCAGGCAACTGAACTGGCGTATATCGTCGGTAAACTGCTCAAATGCGCTAAGCCCTGAAAGCCATTTTTTTTCAGGAGATAGAATTTTAAAAAGACCGTTTCATTATTTTACAAGTGTACCTACATTATGCATTTTTCCTTGCTCTTCTCAACGATTAGAATTTGTGTATTTAGACAAATTATTTCTTAAGCACATGCAAGCCATACCACAGATGGAGAAACTGCAATTTAAAATAATATATTAAAATGTTGGGCTTAGTAGATTTTAACAGCTGGCCAACGATATGAAGTCCCTGATGTATCAGTGCAATGTAGCCTACCTAGTGTTAAGGAAGCTTCAGAGACACGCATTAAGTCTCTATCCGGTCTTCTACGTCACACTGGCCTACATGATAACACTTCTAAATGGTGTCGCTTATTATGTAACTCCTATTCCAAAGATTAGAACTTTGATTATTTTGAATGGGATTTACTGCGTGATGGAATGACTTGCGTTACAGTTCGCTATCTTAGAATTAAAACGTTTTATCTGACATTTCTGCC